TATTTAATTATCATTGAAATTAGATGAAAAGTAGAAGAGTTATTGTCCGCAGCGGATAATCTAACATTTAATAAGAACGAGACAAATTCGCATAGATGAAATTCCACTTCTTTAACGCTACCATGACCCTTAATTATTCTCCGAAAACGCGTTACAACAACTTTGACATTCTGTACAATTAGTTGCTAACATATTTTCTAATCGTACACATTCCTCTTAATTAACATAAAGCTAACAAATATCCGATGCTTCGACAGAATAATTTTCTTTATTTTCAGTGATCAATAAATAGTAAATCAATGTCGCGTACAGTTGAAAGGCCTCCTCGCATTTCCCTCGTTGTCCCGGAACCTTCGAGAAAAGAAAAGATGCCCAAGGGCAAGTCTCTCTTGCTTCAACCGCCGCCGAGGCCCGCAATGTTTACATCGCGCCGATTGTGTTGATCGACTTGCGAGCGACGACACTTTTTGCCCTTCGTTTTGACGTATTGATGACGAATTTTCCGGGAATAAGAAGTCGGAATTTCTCAGTTGGCGCTACTGTTCTAATATATCACTTCTTTTGTACAGTAGAAACGTGTTGCAGAGTTTTATTATAGTTATAAGTTTTACTTGTAAAAACTCATGTACACATATATACAATAAAAAAAATAATTTGAGTTTGATACTTCTAAAAATAACACAATACGTGTTGCGCTTGTACTTGGCGCCTTTTATTTTACCTTTTTGTTTAAAAAGGTAAGTTTTATATATTATTAAATATACGTACGTTTCACGTATAACGTGATTGACTTGGAGTACTCCGTGCCCACGCATGTTATTCATAGCGACGCATTCATACTTTCCCTGATCTGTTACATCGGATTCGATAATCTGCAAGGCACCTGAAACATAAAATGTGATATTCTCGAACAGCGTTCCTCTCAGGATTTTCTTGTCCAAAGAAAGATCAATGATGTGATCGCAGATCTCGTGTATGTCATGTCAAAATAGAGACAGTTTGAATTCAGCGTAATATGATTTTTGGAACAGACGTAAATAATTATTGTGAAGTTTGAAGCGACTCTCTCTCTCTCAGGCATGCTTTGAAAACACGAGTTATTTTCATTTTCAGCTAACGGACGACGCAGGCATTAACATTGATCGGCAAGGTGGGGGGTAACCGTGCCTTCCCGATTGTTTATTTTCGTACGCTTATATATGACTCCGTGATTGCGGAAAGGACATTGCGCCTCGGGCCGACGAACGACGCGCATGCCGCGACGCAGAGCAGGTCGGTTAATACGCGTTTCTTTGTCCCCGAATTTTACTTGCGCGAGTGTTAGAGCTAGAGTCAGTGTCGTCGCCAGTGCTACGATGGAGTATCCGGGGGTGCTGCGACGGAGTAACCAGAAGGAGGACGTCGGATCGAGAAGTCAGGATGGAGAGAGGACTCGGAGCGCGCCGAGAGACATAGCCGAGGACAGCGATACATCATGTATGGTATTCGAGGTACCTCGAGTAATTATTATTACGCAGGATTTTTCTAATTTTAACGGACCTTACTCGAAGTAAGGACATACCCGAGTCGAAATTAGATCAGCATTCATAGTTTATCATTTGAAAAATAGCTTGAGATTTGATTATTCGTTAAACTAATTTCACGTAACATGAGTTCTACTTTTCTTTTCTCGTAAAATATGAATGTCTATTCAAGCAAGGTTGCTGAGGCAAGCTAAGGTTTATGAATACAAATTTTTAATTATGTTCTCAATGAAAAATTGCACATAATTTAAAAAAAACTATGAATAATGATCTTAGAATCTGATATAAATTTTACAAGTGTTGATTTTTATTCGTCTAATAATGCTCAGATTGCTGTTTTCGTTTAGAATCTGCTAGAATATCCGTTTCTCATTCTTGTTTATCTTTCTTATTGTACCGAATCAGAATTAAAATCTCTATTAGTGAAACAGCATTATTAGACATAACCGTTGTCTTTTTGCAGCTTCAGCTCTTTTAAGAGCTACAATTCTCATCATTCTCATTAGAAAAAAGAAAAGAAAAAAAAGAGAAGAAAAAAGGAAAAAAGAACTTTAAGAATGATGAGAATAAAAAGTGTTTTTCGTCCCCCATTTCCTCTAATTCTCATATGATTATTTAATCCTTATATATTTATCTCACGCGCAGTTCTAACAAAGGCAGTTCTATTTACGTTTTTATCTTTATTCTCTTTCTTGCGCTGTTAAGCGAATATATAATCAAAATCAACAAAAATTGCTCATTTAAATTAAGAATATAAGGATTAAGTACATATATATTATCGTAATAAACGAGTATTAAATAACTGCGGAATACGTCGCTGTTGAAGACTCATCATGGGCGAGACTGCGAGAGTAGCCAGATGTAACGTTCAGGTAGGACAAAGCTTGTTCACTATTGCGCACCTAGATATTCTACATTGATTTTTCAAATTGGATGCAATTTGCAGGATCAATGTAGAATTAATATTTCGATTCGGGAAAGACTCGGGAATGAGAACGAATTGTCATTGCACTTGGACAATCTTCTAACACTGATTTCTGGTATTGACCGATATTCGATTTTCGGTACTGATTTACTCTTTCATTCCTCTACAAGAAAAAAAAATTGATACGACTCGTCCATTTAACCGCGTTAATTTGATGAATAAATTAAATATTGATCAGTCTTCAATTTTCAGTACTGATTTATTCTCTCTTTTCTTTTATAAGACAAGAAAAATTGATATGAATCATTCGTTTATTCGAGTTAATTTGTTGAATAAGATTAGAGGGGTAAGTACCTGAAAAATGAGAACAAATTGTCATTGCATTTGGACAATTTTTTGACACTGATTTATGGTATTAATCGATATTCGATTTTCGGTACTGATTTACTCTTTCATTGCTCTATAAGAAAAGGAAAAATTGATACGAATCGTTCATTTATTCGCGTTAATTTTTTTTTTATTATATATAAGTGGTCCATGGGACGATTAAATATTCGAATACATGTTGCCGTATCAAAGTCTCCTCTATAATAAACGATTTGACACGTCTGGGGACGCATGATGTATCGTTGCTCGCATCCCATTCCCTTCGTCCTACTTTTCTGTATAAAATGTCGAATTGAAACGTATTAAAAAGTATTGACATTTTGAATATGTCTGATTTCTGAATCTTTTTGATCCGAAGAAAAGGATTGAAAAGTATTAGTTTCCATTAAATTTTACTGCGCTAAATGCGAGACGGTCTCTTTCACCCGAGTGCCTCACCAGGGAAATTTCTCTGGTACGCTAAATCCCGTAAGGTCATCAGTCTTTATAGTATATCTCGTCGGTGCATAAGGTTTATATTACCTGTACATACATATTTTGAAACATTTTCTTTGGATATTATATCAAACGGATTTTGCGTGTCACGTAATATCCTTCGGACTACAAAGACATTATTATTTTGATCAATTTGATTTCTTTGGTATTCATTGAATTATCCAGAACGCGCAACTGTCATGTTGAACGACTTAATTGTCGTGTGAAATGTTTCGATTTTCACAAATTCATATAAAATTTTTCATTTTTCACTAATTCACAAAAAGTCTTTCACTTTTTATTAATTCACGCTAGGGAAAAGATTCATGATCGCTGCCCTGAGCAACTGCAACGCTTTTCGAATCATCTATGTCGGCGTGCTTTTACTCCTCAGATTTCTGTCATTAATAACTCGATAATTATTGCGAATCTCGCAAAATGGTATGGGACTTTTATGTTTGTCTCAACCTAATCTACCCTCACACTTCGGGTTGGCTAATTACCGGACACTTCGTATGATCTTCATGATATTAATCATACACAAAGTCAATTCTTTTTTTTTTGCACATGTTAACATGTTGATTCATGTTATAAACGCGTAACAATGTGCGAGACCGTGCTTGTCAAATATGTTGTTATGGTTGTAGCACGGACATAAACCGCCTAAAAATGGATGTAGCACGGACTGCCACCACATGCAGATTTTACCACCAAGACCTAAAAGTGGATGTAGCATCGTAGTTCTCTCAAAATGGATGCAGATGGGGCCCATTTCCAGTGCGAAAAATCGGTGTCGCCGAAAACGCCGTGTTGGCCGCTCTCACGTTCTTCTCTGGTAAGGGCTCGATTCCTGACGGCGTGTGAATGAGATGCGCGTACGAAAATCTATATTATATGTAACGTAAACTATAACACTCAGTGCATCTCTTTCATGAAAAATTCATTGAATAAAATGAAAGCAAAGCCTTTTGTTATAAAATAAACGCAAAGAAGCAATATATTAAAAAATAAATTGTGCGTCCTTTAGAGTGAACCAATGGATTTATTGATTGTCGTGAACGTGTTAATAATTCGATAATTATTGCGAATCTCGCAAAACGGTATGGGACTTTTATGTTTGTCTCAACCCAATCTACCCTCACACCTCGGGTTGGCAGCTAATTACCGGACACTTCGTATGATCTTCATGATATTAATCATACACAATGTCAATTCTTTTTTTTTGCACATGTTAACATGTTAATGCGTGTTATAAACGCGTAACAATGTGCGAGATCGTGCTTATCAAGTACGCTATTATGATTGTAGTATGGACATAAACCTGAAAATGGATGTAGCACGGACTGCTACCACATGCAGGTTTTACCGCCGAAACCTAAAAGTGGATGTAGCATCGTAGTTCCTCTCTCAAAATGGATGCAGATGGCGCCCTTTCCCAGTGCAGAAAATCGTCGCCGAAAACGCCGTGTTGGCCGCTCTCACGTTCCTCTCTGCTTATAGATAAGCTTCCATGTAATGAGATTATTTGCTTTCACCGCCGGTTTTGCCACAAAACGTTAATTCGAGGGCGTTGATTGGCATAAACTAGCTAATGGTATAATTTTATTATCGAATACGTTCAACTTACATTTACGTAAAAATTACTTCTATATGTTCATGATCGTATATAGAATTGGCTAGTAATAACAAGCTTTGCAGATTTGTTTTAGATGTATTTGGGATTTTCAATTATACAGCAATATCGTTTACATATAACATACATGAATATTTTTATTCTATTTCTAATATGACTTAAAACAATAGTTTATAATAGAGATTATAATCGCATATTTGCGTTTTTCACAGTTTTATGGAAAATCGAAGATATAAACCAGAGAGACATTACTTGTACATAAGTGTTCTGCATTGCTGGGTTTTATCTTTAATATTAAGATACAAGCGAAATGAAAGTTCTGCTTAGGCATTTGAATGAATCGCAGTGATTATTTTACAAAATAGAAATACGTAATCTTCCCCGTTTTATTGATCATGCTTGGACGCTCATTCAATGTCAACGCAGACTTCCTTCTTTAATATGTACTAAATTCAATTCATTGTACACAGACGGGTATATATGCTTTAACACGTAGTGACTACGATTTTCGAGAGTATATTATATATGCATACAGTCGAAAATAGTAGCAAAAAAAACGTATATTATGACATATTAAAGATATCTTAATAATATGAGTTAAGGAATATATATCTGTCTTGTACATAAATAAAGGTTGCATAAAACAAAAAAGCCGATATTTTTTTCTGATAACGCATGATGATGAAAAGCCACTCGCAAATTGTGTAATGTCATTGAGCGCTTATCGCATATTAACAAAACAGCATTAAAAGACCTAATTATTGCTACATGTGAATTAAATCATTTAGACAAGTTCGACGAAAGAGAGAGAGAGGGGGGGAGAGAGAGAGAGAGAGAGAGAGAGAAAGAGAGAGAGAAAAGAGAGATAGGTAGAGAGAGAGAGAGAGAGAGAAAGAGAGAGAGAGAGAGAGAAGAATGAGCGGTACTAATTCTACGAAAGTGTAGGTGTGTCTCACGTGATCGGTCGAGCGTCGTTGACTATAGATTGAGAAAAACTATATCACAGACGAAGGAGAAACAGAGAAGTAGTGCGACGGTGGCGACGACAGCGGTATCTACCAAATCTTAGCTGCAATGGCTCTCTGCATTAAAACATTCTTGCTTCGCTGCTTCATGCGCTCAATGAAGTACTCCTTGCCCTCCAGGTTATCGTTGACGGGTCCAACCTCCTCACTCTGGCAACAAACGAGACTTAGTTGGCCCCTGACTCGAGTTTCCTCGCGCGTGGCTGATCGTCATCATCATCACCATCACCACCGTCATCATTATTCTCATCAACTATTCCTTCGCTTATCATCATCCAGATTATCATGATCATCATGAAGAAGATTGCCTATTCATTCACGAAAGCCTACGCGGAACCTAACCAACCTTGTTAGTTGCGTCGCCCCCCTCTCCCTCTCCCCATCTCTCATAGTCATCATCGTCCCTTTCTTCACCCTCACTCAAGGGCCCGGCTTGTCTCTTGTTGGGTGGTACAGTTGAACTACCGCTACCTTGTTGATGTTCAACATCGTCGCCACCCTCGAGCATCTTGTTTATCTTTTCTTTCGCTTCATCAACCTTTCGCATAGGATCAGGTGAGTAACTGCGATCGCTATAACGGTCGCGTGACGTTGCACGCCGATCTCTGAAGTCTCGCCTGTCACGGAAATCGCGGAAACCCTGCTTACCGTGGAAGAATCTACCACCACGATTGCCGCGACCGCGACCGCCACCACGATTATTGAAGCCGCCACCACGTCGGTTACCGAAACGATTGTTATGTTGGTTATTGTAGAAGCGATTCCGATTCTGGAAATTACCGCCGCCACGATGGTTTGGATTGTTGAATCCTTGAAAACGCGGCTTGTAATATGTACCGCGATTATTATACGGCCGAAATTGTCTCTTGCGATAGTAACCCCTATCGCCTGATCTACTGCGACTGCGACTTCTCGTGTATGATCTGGATCGTGACCTTGATCGTGATCTGCTGTACGTGCCCGAGGGTGATCTGCTGTATTTTCTTTCATAACTTCCGGATCTTCGGTTTGAATATGAACGTGAACGGCTTCGCCTTGGCGATCGAGACCTCGACGAGCCTGAGCTAGAGGCACTGCGAGATCTACTACGAGATCGTTTCGCTGGGCGATCTCTGCTCATTCTTTTATTTACCCCACCTCTGCTACTCGAATCGCGTTTCTTGGGGGTCTGTCGATGCTGACGCTCAACTTCGCTATCAGAATCGGTTCTTGGACCTTTGGCTTGATTTTGATTCTTTGTCGACGCTGGCGGGCGCGGTGGTTCCGACAGATGACCGGTTCCACTGTTCTGACCAATTGGTTGAAATTTGCCACCCAAATTGTTACTGGAGCCAAATTTAGAGGGTGTGGTTTGTGGTACGGATAAAGACGGATCTTTGTACGACTGGAACTTATTTTGTGGCTGTGGCGTAGGATATTTAACAGGTGCCTGTTTTGGCATCGGTGACTCTTTGGGCAATGGCGGTGGAGGTGTCGGTGCAGACATCGGCTGCGCTGGTGTTGCCCTTTTTTCGGCGAGTTCACGCTGCATCTGTTTGCGTATATTCAAGGATTTCTCAAGGGCCGCGCGTTGCAGTCTCTCTTCTAACTCATTGTCGTCATCCTCGTCGCTATCTACGAAGACGTTGGATTGCAACTTTTTGCTCTCTGGAACATCTTGCCACTTTTGCGATGGAACATCCTTTTGCCTGAAACCACATACGAATGTGAATTCATATAGTTAAATATATATTATACAGTAATAGAACAAATACTTGTAATAAATTACATATACACGTATATGTATGTATGTAATTTACACACACACACGCACACACGCGTACACGCACGCACACACATACACGTAATTTATATTGCTCGTATTTTGTAAAAATATTCTTCATGTTTCCTGATGTTATTGCATGAGTGCAATGTAATGTATGTTTTTAACGAATATATTGCCTAAGATTGTTACACAAATTATCTCATAATTAAGGACATAATGCTCGCTACAACACCCTATAAACATAAAACATACTGCATCGTAATAAACAAGAAAATTTTTTGAAGTCCATAATAATTACACAAGACCACAGACTAAAAAATATATTTTGTTCTGGAAGTAAAACCAACTGTTTCTTACATATTTTGATGTGCTGAAACAGAATCCGTTTCCCAAAAACTTGTATTATGTCACATTTATGAGATACACATAATAAGAAGGTTAAAAATCATATAATTCACATCGCAAATTAAAATAACGTAGATTATAAATTCCTATCTACGTAGAATCACAATCATAAACTGTAAACCAATCAAACGAAATTCTTTGAACCTTTAACCCATAAATCCCAAACCCATACGTCTCAAACTCATACCCTTGAAGACAAGATCTCGAAATGATCCAGTCAATGAAGACAAGACACAGATAAACTAACAATCTCACCAACCTCTTATTTTTTTACTTTTTTTGTGCGCGGTCGCGGTACTTTTTTTTCTTCAAATAATCTTCAGATTGTTTTTCTTTTATGCATCATTTTCTTTCTTGTGTCTCTTTTCAATAACCAACAGTAATCTGCTATTATATTTTCGTCCTATCTACTTTGGTATCTTCTCTCAATTTCCTTTAGGTCTTGATGAAATCGCCTGTTCTTCACTATTGTGTCTTAGATTTTCGGGAAAGTAGTCGAGATAAGAATGGAAAGAATGCAATTTTACATTCATAAGATCACATTCATATCTTAATTTGTTCTAGTTCAATAACATGGATTCGATGATTCTTTTATAGTTTTATAGTTTATCTGTGCCTTGCCTTCATTGGCCGGATTAATTCCAGATCTTGCCTTCACTGGTCGGATTATTTCGAAATCTTGCTTTCAAAAATATTTGAGTTTGGAGTCTATGGGTTTGAGGTTTATGGGTTGAAGGTTCAAAGGACACCCAGTTTGGTTTACAATTGTGGTTCTATATAGATAGGAATTTATGATCTGCGTTATTTTAATTTGCGATGTAAATTATGATTTTGAACCCTCTTATTATGTGTATCTCATAAATGTGACAATATGAATTTTTGAGAAACGGATTCTTTCAGCACATCAAGATACGTAAAAAACAGTTGGTCTCTTTTCCGGAATAAAATACTTTCATTTTGTGATCTTGTGTTATTAAAAAGTAAAGGAACGGAAGAAAGAGAAAGAGAGAGGGAGAGGAAAGGGGACGGAAGAGGGAGAAACATGAAAACGATAAGACGAGTTCTATACTAATAAGATCATATCAAAGATAAAATTATAATTATTGACGATTTTTTAGCAATGAGTGACGTGTGAACGCCAAAATGCCAGTCAACATCACACACATTGCCCGTCATTACCAGGAAATTAACAGATTCAAAATATCTGTCACGAAATTAAGCTTACAAGATTCTGTCACTTTCCATATATTTAATTACGCATGCACATACTGATATTCTCTAATTATTACTTTAGTGAATATTGCAAATCTTGTAAAACAGTATAGGGCTATCAAGTTTAGTTTGATGTACTCTACTTAGCTATACATAGCTAAGCAAATAACTAGCATAAACCTTGAGCGTTGTACATCTTGCCAAAGAGTATATAACAAAAAATTCCTGAGATATGCTTATTCTGCGTACTTAGCCTATCGTATGAAGAATTTTATTAGCAAGTTCCACTTTCTCATAATGCTCTTTAGATAACGTTAAAAGGTGAGTTTTTGACGACCTAAAATCAACTTTTCGACTAAGATATGGAAATAAATCAATAAAAATTTTATATTCAATAACAAAAATAAAAACAGTACACAAAACACAGCAGAGAGGGTTTAGAGTCGATAAATATTACGGGAGTAACAAACTGAAGGGCCTTTATTTCTGCTATATACACACACACGCACACGCACATGCGTACGCGCAACGCAGATATAAATCCAATCGTGCAACTTTCACGCGGCATACCTTAGGTAATACTAATACCGGCAATAGTGTAATTTTCAAGCCTTACAACTCAAAAAATATTTTACACAAACACATTTTATTATAACATTTTGGAGAACTCTAAAGATGAGCTATAAATTTATGCAATGAAAAGTGGGTGTTCGCGTATAAAAATCTTAAAATAATTTTTGTTACTTTCAAATGGTTTTTAAAAAATAAACTAATAACACGACGTTATTATCCTTCTCGAAATAAAATTATGTAGGTCATATCTTTTCATTTTTGTATGTTTCTTTAATTTCAAAGGTAGTTCATTCTCCTTCAATTTTCTCCTTTCCGTTATTAATAAGCATAAAAAGAAAAAAAAACGCATAAGAAACAAAACTGAATGCAAGATATAGACGTTTTCTAGATCATGGATTATAAATATGAAATCAGATGTGCAGACTCGACAAAACTACAAAATTCGATATGAAACTTTTTATTTTTTAGATATTTTGTTTAAATATTTTATTATTTAAACAAATAATTTTACATATTTGACTTCATATTCATAATCCGCGAACCAGAAAATGCTGGACGACAAGAGAGAGAAAATTGAAAGAGGATGAACTATTTTTAAAACAAAAAACAGCCAAAAATGGAAAAACATGATCTAAATATTTTTTATGTATACCAAGTTACAAAAAAATCGGAGTGTACCTTTTATGTAAGATTTACTTGTCGGAATAGTTCGATGAAGAATGTAAATAGATAAGACAGAAAGATAAAGCAAGGACACAAATATTTACATAAAATCAACAAGTAACAAAAATGAATACTACAATAAAAAAAAAGCGACCACTGAGTTATGTAGAAGGAAAGAAAGAATATACTATAATATGATAAAAAAATTGAGAAAAGTAAGACACTGCAGAAAATACTATCGCTATTCCATCGTAAAACAACTGTTTAAAGAATCCAAACCAAGAGAACATTTTGCAACAAGAGTTGGAAGAAGTTTAGAAGTAAACAGAAAAAGAAAAAGAGCGAGAGAGGGGGGAGAGAGAGGGAGAGAGAGAGAGAGGAGGAGGAGGAAGAGAAAAAAAGGAAGGAAAGAGAGAGAAGTTGGCATCAAGATTGAAACCGGTGATTCGAATTCATTTAAAATAGGAAATTAGTTTTAAGAAAATAACTAGTTTCATTAGATATCTGACATCAATTATGAATGAAAATAATTCAGTCATTGATGAGATAGAAACAAGAATAGGAAAGGAAGCTTATTTCGCGAAAAGTTTATTATATTCTAATATCCTAAAAATAAAGACGAGAATCTACAAAATTGTTTTCTATTGTGATCTATGGTAGTAAAACGTGAATAGATAAGAAGAAATATTATATAAACAATAAGAAGAATTATATAAACGTTTCAAGCATAAAATACTAATGGAAAAGGCTCAATACAAGACGGAGAATGCACATAAATTTTGAACTTTATACTGATTTTTTGAACTTTATATTGATTAGTATCGCAGATATAATTAAGTTTCGCAAATTAAACCGCAAAGAATTAACTGGTTCAAATATGTGTACAGAATGGATAAAGATAAATATAAAAATTGTCAGAATGTAAATCTATAAAAACTCGGCCAAGACGGCCAAGATTGAGAAAACAATAGATGGGATGTGTCGAGGGGAAACTTGAAAACATAGAGGCTAGAGATCGGAGGAGAGTTCTCGGAAATAGAAAGGAACGATATAGAGTTGTTGAGAAAGTCAAAACTGAGGGAGACTTGCAAAGCTAGAGGAAGATGGTTTCAATGCTAATATACATTACTCACTTTGTACATCTTATACATCTAAAACAAGCAAATTTCCTTTGGAATCAAAATAGTCTAGATTGCAGAAATACCACTAGTATATATATTGCATATACTAGCCGTTCGAAAACAAAATTATATCGAATATCATCAACTCACTCGAAAGAAAAACAAATAGGGTTAGTTTCGTGCGTTTATTTTATTAGCAACGTAACAAAAAATCCAATGTTTATAATATTATGTTGATAGAAGGACAGCATCAAGTTATAATACCCTATTCAATTTTGCTTGTTTTGTTGCACATGTTAAGCATTCACGTATTTTGCTTTATACAAGGTGTCCCATAATTGTAAGACAGGAACTCCATAGCGGCGTAGAGCTAAGCGAGAGGAACAAAAAAGTCCTTTTCTATTTAGCAATATCTCGCATAGTTTTTTTAGTAATAATCGCGTAAAATTTGGCGTTTGTCACGCCCATCACGGCCTATAGACGCTCCGCGGCGAGCTGTGTGCGTCAAAGCTGAGCGATAACACATCTCGCGCGACCATCGCGATAGTATCTTGGCGCTTTGACACCGCGCGACAGTTAACGCGAGCCGCATTACTGACCAAGTAGAATAGAAAAGTCTAGTACCATCTTTTTATCCCGACAAACAGCGAGATATGTTAAGTTAAATATTGGGAAAGTTACTAAGTTATCCTTAAATATCTCAAATATTAGGCAAATAAAAAAATGTTTCAGACAAAAGTTGTTCAAATTAATTGGTGGAAAAAGACGGTGTAATAAAAAATTGGAATTTCCATTTAAGATTTTTAAGTTGATCTTGACTGGGCTTTTCAAGGTTATCTCAAGATCAAATTTATAGCATCAGTAAACAGATTCTTTGAAGTCCTACAACTTTTGTCTGAAACATTTTTCTTTAAAATGTTGCGTTTACGAAAAAATTAAGTGACCCTAGTGGTCTGAAATACCCTGTATATTGGGTTGGGAAAAAAAGTTTCTTCATATTTTCCCGGTAGATAGCTTTAGGATCGCATAAACTCTGGTATTAATCAGATCTGACAATATTTGCGTGCGTTTGAAAGGTGACATATCATAGAGAAATTAATGAAAAAAAGCTGTTACATTTATTTACTCAATCAAAAGTTATTGCATCTTGAAAATGAGTGAAAATAAAGAAGAAATTCGATATACTTTGAAATTTTATTATAAAAAAGGGAAGAATTTGACTCAGGTTGCTAAAATTTGTGATGTTTATGAACACGATGCAGTATCAATATGTGTGGCACAAAACTGGTTCAAGCGTTTTCAATCTGGAAATTTTGATATCAAAAGTCCATCTTGCTCTGGTCGACCAATCATTGGAAAAGTCGATGAAATCATGGAAAAAATTGAGCAAGACCAGTACATTAGCAGTCATGATATCAGTAAGGAACTAAATATCGACTACAAAAGTTTTAAACCGTTTGGAGAAGGCTTGATAAAAAAAAAAATTCGTTTGGGTGCCACATAATTTAACATTGAAAAATTTAATGGATCGAACTTCCATCTGCGAACCGTTGCTAAAACAGAACGAAATCGAACCATTTTTTAAACGGGCAATGAAAAATGGATCATGTACGACAATAATGTACGAAAAAGATCGTGGTCGAAGCAAGGTAATGTTCCGCAAACGGTGGCAAAACCAGGATTGACGTCAAGAAAAGTAACGGTGTGTGCGTGGGATTGGAAAGAAATCATTCACTACGAGCTGCTGTCGCCCAGTCAAACGATTAATTCTAACCTCTACTGTCAACAACTGGGAAGATTACGCCAAGCAATCGAGAGGAAGCGACCAGAATTGATCAATAGGAAAGGCGTCGCCTTCCATCACAATAACGCCAGATCTCATATATCTTTGGCGACCTGTCAAAAATTGAGAGCTTGGCTGGGAAGTTTTAATGTATCCACCGTATATTCCTGATCTTGCACTATCAGACTACTATTTCTTTCAGTCCTTACTCTCTGTAATAGTGTAATAGTGTAAAATTGTAATAGTACTGTAATAGTGTAAAATTGACTTCAAAAGAAGTCTGTGAGAATCACTTGTCGCAGTTTCTCGCTTAGAAATCACAGAAGTTCTACAGTGATGGAATTATGATTTTAGTTAAAAAATGGCAAAAGATGTTCGAATAAAACGGTACATATTTGGTTTAATACACTTCATTTACAATATGAAAAAAATTTGTTTCACTTTTGTGAAACTAAAATACGAAGAAACGTTTTCCCCAACCCAATTTACAGAGTTGTCCGGTAATTAGCTGCGAACCCGAAGTGTAAAGGTAAATTGGGTTAAGACAAACATGAAAGTCCTGTTTTGCGAGATTTGCAATAATTGTCGACTAATTACAGAAATTTGAGGAGTGCGCCGACATAGATGATTGAAGAAACGTTGCAGCTGTTCAAGCTACAGCGCGGCCCAATCGAGCAACTATTGGCGGCTTGCGGCGAAACGTAGGAGCGGCGAAATAAAACATAAATAGCGGCGTGTTGTCCTTCCCCTCGCCGCAGCCGGCATCAGTTGCTGAATCGACTCGGGCCGCACTGTGGCCCGAGCGGCTGCAACGCTTCTCCAATCATCTATGTCGGCACGCTCCCACTCTTCACATTTCTGTCATTAATAACTCGATAATTATTGCGATTCTTGCAAAATGGTATTTTATTTTTCTCTTCAGCTTAACCCAATCTACCTTCATACTTTGGGTTGGCAGCTTTTATCGGACATCCTGTATACAAGGTGTCCTATAATTGTAACCAACTCCATAGGGGCGTTGAACTAAGCAAGAGGAACGAAAAAGTTCTGTTCTATTTAGCGATATCTCGTATAGTTTTTTAGGAATAACCGCGTAAAGTTTGGCGTTTGTCACGCCCATCACGGCCTATAGACGTGGACTTTTTTAATATTTAACTTACAACTTACAATATCTCGCTAACTATTTGTCGGAAGAAAAGGTGGTACTAGACTTTCTCGTTTTATTTAGTCTCAAGAATATATTGTTACAATAGCGCCTTGACTTTTGTTAACTTACTGATTTTTGAAAATTTCAAAATCGTCAAATTAACAAAAGTCAGGGCGCTATTGTTTATTATTGTGTATTAACAATATATTCTTGAGACTAAATAAAGCAAGAAGGTCTAGTACTTTTTCTTTCAACAAATAATTAGCGAGATATCGTAAGTTAAATATTGAGAAAGTTATCAAGTTTTTCTCAAATATCTAAAAAAATATTAGACAAATAAAAAAAATGTTTTAGACAAAAGTTGTTCAAATTAACTAGTAGAAAAAAAGTGTAATAAAAAATAAGGGTTCCCATTTAAAAAACGCAAGTTGACCTCCAAATGACCTTGAAAATAGAGGTCAAGGTCAAAATCAAAGTCATTATAAGGTAGCTCACTTAAATCCAACTAATTATAACTTTTATTCAGACCATTTTCCTTGAAACTTCAATACTGAAGAGTTATTAGGGTGGTCCGTTACTTTTGGGACACCCTGTATAAGAAATAAGAACGATCTCTTTTATTCTTGACAATAATTCTTCACAATAATTTACGCGATCAACGTTGTATTTGGCTATATTCTGATATTCATTGTCAGTACTAAAAATCTATAATATACGTTATATAATAATAAACTATAATTCAGATTATAATCTAGACTATAAATAATTAATATTGGCAGTGAATATTACAACGTAATCTTTATTTCATAACATTTCATACTATCATAACAATGATAGTAAAAATTAAAGATGAGTTCAATTTTCCTCTAAAAACTCTAATTCGCAGAATTGTGTAATGTTTCAGAAAAAGTGGCGCATTAATCTAAGCTCAAAAAGAACTCAATTTATGCATATTAGCTTATAATAAAGAAGAAATAAAAGTATTAATTATTAATAATTAAAAATTAATCTCAAACATTTTTAGGTTAATAAATTGAGAGAATTAATTTCATGAAGGTAAGGATTTCTTTTATCTTCTTAACAATAAATATTAAACCAATCATTATTATCCTATTATCAACTACTGAATAATTAATTTTCAATGTTTACTTTCTTGTTTATTTGTTAGTTTTAAATATTTTCTACCTAAAAGTTATTATGCGTGCGTACGTACACGCGCGTGATTTAACATTTCAGATATATATCCGTTTTTAAATACGTTCAAGTTTTCTATTAATTATTGTCTTAATTGTTCGGAAACATTCTATATACAGGGTGTTCCGTAAGTCGAGGTAAATCGCTCGGGAGATGAATAGGGAATCAAAAACAAGACAGAAAGTTGATATAAACATAGATCCGAAAATGCGTTTTCGAGTTATCGCCATTTTTATATTAAAATTTGAAATTGCTTTGCTTTTGAATTTTTTTGTCAAAATTAAAACATGAGATGATTTTTATGAGTTTCAAAACATAACTAAAGTCAAATAAAAGTTGCAGGCTGCTTTAGCACTACCCAGGATGTACCACGTGGAGGCACAGTCCACTTAGCATCCTTTGATAGAAATCGAACTCTACAGTTCGTCACTGGTATTTAGTGACTCCAAACCCTCTCTGCCGTATACGTGTGTATGTTTATAAACGGCCAGTTAATAATGTCCATGAACTGAGGCAAAAAAATAATTAATAGATTTGAAAGCATTAAAGAAAATCCGGAAGTATTACAAAGAGTTCAGGACTCCTTAGAAAGCCTGCAGCAAGACTTAGAGCCTGCATTCATGCAGGAGGTAATTTCGAACATCTCATATAATCTCATTTTCAATTTTTACATTCACACACACGCACACACACAGCAGAGAGGGTTTGGAGTCATTAAATACCACAGGAGTTACGAACTGTCCTGATTTCTGTCGAGGGATGTTATAAGCGGGTTGTATCTCCACATGGTGCATCCTGGATAGTGCTAAAGCAGCCCACAAATTTTATTTGACTTTAGTTGTTTTGAAACTCATAAAAACCATCTCATGTTTCAATTTTGACAAAAAAATTCGAAAGCAAAGCAATGTCAAATTTTAACATAAAAATGGCGATAACTTGAAAACAACGTATTTTCGGATCTATGTTTGTATCAACTTTCTTTCTTGTTTTTGGTTCCCATTCATCTCTCGAGTGATTTACCTCGACTTACAAAACACCCTGTATAGGTTATAGATAATATAATCTCATTATATGTGACTACTTACCTAGCAGCTTGCGCAGCTTTCCACTTAGCATTCAATGCAGCCGTATCTAATGTAGGGAGCTTCGGTTCTGGATGAATTAATTGGGACTCTTGTTCAAATATGTCTGTTAAAGGCTTCCTCTGGATTTCTATAACGAATAGCAATACATCATATTATTGCGTTTAGTATAAACTATACGCATACTTCGATGTTTCATATATACCTTTTCTCTGTTGTGCGGTCATCGGTACTCTAGGTTCTCGCTCGTGATACGCCTTCGAAGCTTCGTCTCTCTCCCTTTCCCTCTCTCTACGCAGCTCTTCCTCCCTGCGCGAACTCTCAGCGAGCTTCTCCGCGTTGCTAAGAGGGGAAGGTATGTCATTATACTGTGCTACATACCTAGTAAATATAAAAACATAAGTAGAATATGATATCTGACGACCGCGTGATATCCGTTCATTTGCGATAGCTGAAGACGTTAAAATAATCTAAACAAATTTAAATGATTACACAATGCTACGAAATTAAATTTTCTCCAAACTCCAAAAATATAACTATATTGATAAGGAAAAGAAATGAATTCATTATTATAAGAATATTTCAATAAAGATTCCAACCTTTTTAACGCTGCACAGTCTTTTTCAACCTTTGCATAATAAGCATTTAGCTTCGACTCTAATTGTTCCAAGTCCGGTAAAGACGATTTTTTCAGTGCTTCTAAATCTCGTTCAAGCTTGTCCTTGTTTTTACGTTTTTTACGCTCTTCCTTCTTCTTCTTTTTTCGACTCTTCTTGTCCTCTTTTTCTTTATCTTTCCCTTTCTTCTCTTTTTTCTTCTTCTTCTTCAATTTTTCACTTTCAGAATGTTTCTTTTCCTTTTCCCTTTCCCTCTTCCATCTTGCTGTCTCTTCCAAAAATTTTCTTACCTGCTCATCAAAACAATTATTTTAATTTTTACATTTCATACTTTAAAGAGCCACTGAAGAAATCTAAAGGTTATATACTTGCCTTATCTTCATAATCGGAATCATCCTTGGTTTGTTCAAGAAATTTGCGGACTTTGATTTCATAATCATCCATTTTCTCGCGAGTGCTCGTGGTATAAGAAGTTGGCGCGATTGTATCATGAGTAGTAGTAGTTGCAGCCGGAGGATTATTATATTGAGCCATTCGCTTACTAAGCGGAGAAAGCGAGCTACGGTGATCTTTCTTGTGCTTGCGTTTGCGACTTGGCGAACGAGAAACTGATCGTGAACTTCCAGATGACGACGAGCTGCTAGAATCTGAACTTGAAGAGCTTGACGATCCACTGGATGAAGAACTTGAGCTGGAACTCCATCTTTGTCTTTTCTTTGATCTAGATTTTCTCTCTTTTTTGCGTTTTTTCTTATCTTTTTTATTTTCCACAACATCGTTTTCAGCTTCAAAGTTCTTAAAAGTATCAAGAGGATTCAACGACGTTGTAAGAGTCTTAGATTTTACATATTCAATAGAATTTCGTGCTTCTTCGTGATATGGAGCAATCGCTAAACAATTTTCATATGCCTTCTGAGCATCCTCATATTTCTTCTCATCTTCATAACTACGACCGAGCGCAACAAGGGTTTCCGCCATATATTTACGAGCATTTACATGAGTTTGATTTAATTTCAGAGCTGTTTCAAAGTCATCAATCGCCTTCTTGAAACTCCCGCTATTTGCATATCTATAACAGGAAATAAAATCCTGAATTTATTTGTTCGTGCATATGTTTACATGTTAAATATACAAAGTGTATAAAAAGTACCGGGACGGTGAAATATCACAAAAACTAAGCATTTTAGAAAAAAATGTTTTAAATAAAAATTGTAGGGTTTCAAAATATCTATTTATTACCATTATGAGTTTGATCTTATAGCCCTTCTTCAGACCTTTCCAAAGCACTATAATTTTTTCCACTTTGAGTAAGCCGTTTCGAAGTTATCGAGCTTTTTATGATAAGATGTCCAGCCAGCAGCTAGAGCAATTTCGTGAATTGTATTTCAGACACATGTAATGTTAAAAAATAATACTAATGTACTAAATTTATAACAGCACTAAAATTCACTTTCGAATCATTTCAAATCAATTGCAATGAAATTGCATTGACTTGAAGTAGAATATATTACTTGTACATGATACACGTTGTTCCTTACGGAAAAGAAATGATTTTTTCCCTGATTTTTCTTTCTTTAATTGAATTATCGATTTTATTATCTAATTAATATAAATTTCTGTTTATTGGATAAATCTTTTTGTTTTCTAGCTTATTCGTTAGACTTTACTTTTCCTTTTAGAGATTAACATTATTCTCAAACGCTTTTGTAAGATGTTTCAGGTTTTTATCATCGATTAGCACATTGCCAAACAATGAATGTTGAACAATTTGAGTATTTGATACATTAATCACGCTTTCAATTGCTAATTTTCCTTTATGATCATCTTGCCTTAGTTGGCTAGATACTTCTTTGATCTTGTCTTGGCTGGCTGGATACTTCTTTGATCTTGCCTTGGCTGGTTGGATACTTCTTTGATCTTGCTTTGATTGGCTAGACATCTTATCATAAAAAGCTCGATAACTTCGAAATAGCTTACTCAAAGTGGGAAAAATTATAGTGCTTTGAAAAGGTCTGAAGAAGAGCTATAAGAACATGCAATAAAAAATATAGGGTCCCATTTAAAAAATTTAAGGTAACCTGACCTTGGCGACGCCACCCAAAGTCAAACTCATAATGTCAGTAAATAGATGTTTTAAAACCCTACAATTTTTATTTGAAACATTTTTTTCTAAAATACTTAATTTTTATATTTCACAGTCTCGGTATTTTTTATACACCCTGTATATCGAAAATTTTGAACAGGAAACATACAATGCTCCTCGGGCGACTAATCCTTCGACGTTGCGAGGATCAACGGTAAGTGCTTTGTTGAGGCACTGGAAAGCTTCAGTATGACGACCGGCTTTGAAATGATCTATACCCTCTGCGACACTTCGGAATGCCCACTTGCTCGCTTGTGCTTGTCTCAGCTCAGAAGCGTATTCGTTAGGTGGAAATCTTTCTCTATATATCAAAGAATGAAAGAAAATATGTAAGAACTAAACATACATTAATATCTACTATTAGCACTTCTATTAGCATAATATATATCTAAGAAAGTCTTTTTAAGAAATGTAGCAAGACAAGGCAAAAAAAAAGATAAAAATAAAATGAAAATATCTTATCAACATAGTGTTTAAAACGCATATTTAATTGGATAAGTGTTAAAAAATTTATTAGAGACATCCATATCAATAAAATCAATAAACTACCTAAATTATTGTAAACTTTTCGGGTGTCAAAAAGATATAACTTAATATTTATATTTATATAATAGATTTTTTTCTATTAACTTAAGAAAGTGTTGTTAAATATTTATAATTTCAGTTTTATGTTGTGTTCAAAATTAAATATTATAATGTTTTAGAGATATCGTAAGCACACAAATAACTATACTTACTAAATGTATTATGAATGTCTAAGAAACAATTAAATATATAACATATAGGATATACAAGATATCTGATGCTACTTGTGTGTTTATGTATAAATAAAATTCATCAAACTAAACGAAAAAATCTTCAATTATTTTACAAACAACCATAATAATTATTGATATCAATTAAAGAAAATTTGCGAATTAGTGCATATGATATAGCAGAACAAACTTTTTAAACAAAGTCACAAGATGTCTGTATCTATCGACAATCTCTTAGTAACGACGGGTGGTATGTAATATTGGTTAATACTATAATTCATGTATATTGTTCAGTATCAAACCATCTGTCATTGTCGAGAAATTGTCAATGAATTCAAATATCTTGAATGGGGCTTTGACTAAATAGTTTGTCCTATCATATTTGTCTGCATCACATAGATTAATTCCTTAATTTCTTTTAATTATCTTAATAATTATCGTAATTGCTTGCAAAATGATAAAAGACCTTTTTCTTCAGTTTGATAAGCTTTATTTGCATATATGAAAAAAGGTACGGAGTATATTAAATATCCTATAAACAGAAAAATATCTTAATCAAATTATATCTGCTTCAAAGAAAATAATGACCACATTGAAAATTTATTATCCGATTAATTGTGCATTTTCCAAATATATATTGATATATATTTTTACTTAATTTTATATCCTTTTCTTACCATTTTTAAGATTATCTTTTTCAAAGATGTTTCACCCTGCATGTTTAGTGATAAGATATCTTACCTCAAGCCAACCATATTGGAGTGATTCTCTTGTCCAAGACCGATTAAGTCGCACAAATATTTTATGTTGTTTGGATTGTTGAAGCCAGTACTACTCTCCAACAGCGTTTCATAACTTTGTCCTTTGTCCATTGCTTTCCTATACCACAGAGAAAAATACCTAATTATTGAATTTGTAATGATCGTCGTGACCTTTGTAAAAGAAGAGGAAATTAAAGCTACTTCATTAACGGTAAAACCAAAGACTCGATAATCATGACAGCCGAGTCCTCGTAATCCCTTTCGGCATGTTATATTGCCTATATGGTCGTGCATGTGCATCTCAATCTCTCTGACATATCGTCGTATCATCTGTCTTTACTTTTTCGTTTTTTACGCGCAAATATATCCCATGCGCGCATTATCTATTTTTGTCTTCTTATACACATATAGTGATATTTATTGTTTGATTATTCCTGCATGATGATGCTAATTCCTCATTTCGATGTGCATGTATTATTTGGAGATACGATACTAATGCCAAAAGTGCTTTTGTGTCAGTTCCGATTTTCCTCTCAATTGTATATCAAAATATATAAGACAATTACGCAACTTCTGGTATTAGAGTCGTTTATAATTTACGTTTGTACCGTTAAGAAGCAGCAGGGGTCCGAAACAGGGATACGGTGTAGAAGGTTGATAAGACTTTTTATTACCAGATAAATTTCTTAGTTATAAATTGACATTGGTACACAACCTCAATATTATGTAAACTCGTCTCTCACCTTTCACATACCGCTAAGACGTATATTTCTAGTATTTTGCATATCACATTTGTAATCAGAGATTTTATCTCAACACAAAAGCACACGGCCTATCATCGATCGATGGTGGTTTCGATTTTATAAGTTTTTTTTTTTGGTGCGATAAAATAAATTGCATAGCCCTAGAATAGGTTGGGAGCCACGTCTGAGTACATTTTATCTTCCACACAAGTTGACCAAAAAAATTTTTTTAGATGTAGTACACTTTTTCGTCTGTTTGCATTTTGTGGTGTCAATTTGATATCAACATGACATCACTTTTTTTATTTGTCAATATAAGCTGTAAGTTTAAATGAGAGGCATTATTATGACGAGGCGCGATTCTTTTGAGGCTTATAGGTAAAAGGTTCTGGGTGATTAAGATTCAAGTTGTTTGGTCTCTGCTTGAAATTTTACAAGTTTACATACAAATTAATATTCTCCACAAAGTAAACCTTACCTTCACAAAGAAAACATGACCGCACGAAAATACAGATACCTCTTGCCATGGTGTAAAACGATTTGGAAAAAAAAAAAATGTTATTAGTGTACATTTCAAGAAAGCATAATCGATACATACATGTAAATATATGGGTATATATTGATTTGATACCTTAAGAGACCAAACAACTTTAAATCAGTGTTATACCTACCGTATGCTGCACTCACTCTGATTGTTCAAAGGCTCAACATCTCATACTGGAAATTCAACCTCAAAAGACATTGAAGTCATTTGCGCCATAGTTTGGCTGGTGCTTTGATAGTAACATATCACAAACGTAGATAGAATATGTGCGCAATAGAGCCATGTCAACCAATGCTCAAGGTTTGAATCATTTGTATCACATTAGAAATTCATCATCATACTGACTATTCAACTTTTATGTTACATAGAGTGTCTGGCACCTAAATTCATAAAAATGTGTAAGAAGAATCAAAATCTAATTTTACCTAATTTTGTTAGTATTACAGTGCTTCTGTTAAAGTTCGTCTTTGTCCTCTCATCATGCCATTATCCTTACCTTCATCTTATATAATGAAAAATCTATGAAATTATGAAAATTGCACACATGCATGTACGCACGTATGTGCACACACAGACGCAATATTTTACAACATATAGAACTTGCAATAAAAATGAATTTAGCACTTAAACATAATTTAAAAGTTCATAGTAAATATATACCCGTGTAATTGCTTCCACTTTAAATTACATCTTTGTTTCGTCTGAGTTATAGTTTATATAGAGTTATATAGAATTAATATTTTTTAATATTTTAAATATTTTAAATATTTTTAAATATAGTTATATTTGAATATATGATAATGATGAATATTGTTTATATTTATTATATTTATTATGTACTATTGGTTTTATTGTTAAAATTTTTCTAATTATAAGAACTTATTCAAGTAAGAAATGGGAAGTAAACATATCTATTGTATGGATTTATTAAATGCAACATAGCTGAAATAAAACGTCAGTGCATGAAAAAATTGTATACTCTATATAATCATCACCTACCAAATGAGAAAATATCACAGAAAATAAATCAACATGTTGAAGATACTAATTCATTTAAATGATGAGTCTTGAGTAGTTTCCAATTAACATGTTGACATATTCTAACAATGTATTAAAATTTGTCTAAAAATCCAGCAAAAAATTCTGGAATTTATCAATAGATGATAGGATTTTACATTGAAACAATACCGACTTGTTTGAAGAAATAAGTTATGTTGAAAATTTTCTTTAAAGATAAACGAAAGTTAATGCTGAAATATAAAAAAAATGGCTATAACTTACAATAAAAACAATTTCACATATACATTTATATGAACTTTATTATTATTAGTCTCCCCCCTTTCCACACTCTCTTATGTGTGTACATGCGTGCATATACATGTAAATTCGTCCCTCTAGTGCGTCCCACATGTTATGAAATATGATATATACAAGATATATATGTACCAGATTGAAACTCACATCTAAATAACAAGTAAAATAGGAGTTATATAAATAAAATGCTTTGGATAAAAGTCGTTGGTTTTCAAAAGGAAAAGAAGACAGTGATACGTTTCTTCGATACGATGATACGAAGTCAACTTTAATTTTTTTTTAATGAAATAATGTGGTTTTATAGTATAAGCCAAAATTCATTCATCAAAAAATTTCACGATCGACAAATTATTTTTTAATATATTTTACATCTTAGCCTAATATTTTTTTATATAAATAATATATCGAACATCTAGGAATATATCTCATGAAATATTTATTTATTAATGACTTTTAATACTTTTATTCTTGAAATTATGAAACAAATAGATTGATATAAAAGCAAACAGAAAAATATGAAAACAGATTCCGGTCCGCATCATACAAATGCGTTGATATACTTTGATATCATGTTGATATATTATTGAGTGAAACAATTAGCATCAATTCATTCTTCTGGTTATTCAATAAAAAAAGTGTTGATATAAGGACGTTAGAAAATATTTACTTTTCAATGATTTCATTTCAGTATTTTTATACACAGAATAGCGAGTGGAGTCGATTTATAATAATAATAATAATAATAATAATAAAAGCATTTCATTAAAAAACTAAAGATGACTTAAAAATTTCAAGATTATGATACAATTTTATCTCTCTCGGAACTAAAGAATTTGGATCTCAGTAAATGTTTGCAAATATAGTATTAACGCTAAGAATCGCGGTCTTTTTTGTAGTAATCCAAAAAATAAGCTATATACAGGGTGTCCCATAATTGTAAGACACCAACCCCATAGGGGCGTAGAGCTAAGCGAGAGGAACGAAAAAGTCCTTTTCATTTAGCGATATCTCGTACAGTTTTTTTAGTAATAATCGCATAAAGTTTGGCGTTTATCACACCCATCTCGACTTATAGACGCTCCGCGGCGAGCTGTATGCGTCGAAGCTGAGCGATAACGCGGCTCGCTGACCGTCGCGCGGCGTCAAAGAGCCAAGACGCTTCAATTGCGACAGTCAGCGCGAGACGCGTTATCGCTCAGCCTCGACGCACACAGCTCGCCGCGGAGCATCTATAGGCGGCGATGGGCATGATAAACGTCAAACTTTATGTGGTTATTACTAAAAAACTATACGAAATATCGCTAAATGGAAAGACTTTTTCGTTCCTCTTGCTTAGCTCTATAACCCTATGGAGTTGGTTACAATTATGGGACACCTTGTATATACAAAATGTCCTATAATTCGCTCCGTGGAATTCGTGGAGACATAGAGGGAGATTAAGACAAGCATACATAAAAGTCCTATACTGTTTTGTAATATTCGTAATAATTATCGAGTTATTAATTATAGAAATCTGACGAATAAGCGCGTGCTGAGATGATGTTGAAGGAGTATTCCAGCCGCTTTAGCTATAGAGCGGCTTAGTCGATCTAGCAACTGTTGTTGACGCGCGGCAGTGGGAAGGACAACGCGTCGTTATACATGTCTTATCTCGTCGTATTCTTTCAATATCATTTTAGTGAGAGCTCATTCGTCAGATTTTTATAATTAATAACTCGATGATTATTGCGAATATCGCAAAACGCTAGGAGACTTTTATATGTGTTTGTCTTAATCGGCTCTGTCTCCATGAATTTCTCGGAGCGAATTATGACATATACATAAGATATATACATAAGATAATTGGTGACTTATATAGCCATAGTTAATGGAAGAGTAAAACTGATTGAGATAAAAAAGAAAATCAAATACGCCCCGATGCATTCCGATTTTTCTCCATACGTAACTTGGCCATGATTTTTATGATTTTTTTCTTTATGTTAATCAACTTGACGTTTCCATTGGCTATGGCCACATAAGTTACCAAATATCCTATATATAATACATACAAAGTGTCTGACCCAAGAGACATGCAATAACCATATAAACGGCAGAACATATCATTTTGAGCACAAGAAGAACTCTTATCATTTTGCAAATAACTACGTGAAATTTAGTTATTTATAAAAGATTAGCAAATCAGTGTACGCAATATTGTAGGATGCGCTTTTCTAGACACGAGCTTAAAGGTAATTTACACGATTTTACTGTTTTTATTCGTTTTGAGCAAGTTCCTTAATTCGTGAGCAAATTCACTGATAAAAATTTCTTCTAAACAATAGATTTTCGCTAGTATCTAAAATATAGAGATATATTGATAATATCTAAAATTTAAAATTCGCTGGTAAAAACTTCTAGAAACTTAATTTTTATTTGCTAGCGTCTAAAATTTAGAAAACGACGTTTAGTGATCATTACGATAAAATTGTATGTTCTTTGACTAAACGCTGTTTTCTAATTTTAGACGCGAATAAAAAT